GGTACATCCTGTGTAATAATACATGGCAACAACTTTTGAGTGTTAGGTCTGGTTCTGCCATCATTTTGTTAAAATGAAACTATTTGCTTTTGATTCTGACTCACACTCCCAATGTGTGTCAGGCCTTGCAGTCTGCTTCTGAAAGGTCACCATAATTAGAACATTATGGAGTCATAGTGAACAAGTGCCTCCTTTGCCATAAGACCAGAAAACTAGATGACGCCTGGCTGCAATCACTGAACATTTTTATCAATGGTTATATAAAAGAATCCTGTTCAAAAGGGGGGAAATGCACACTGGAATTATAAATTCCCTTAGTAGCCAGACTTCCTGGAGTTGTAGAGATTGGAAGGCAGCTATGCTGATTACTATATCACCAACGCTTGAGCTGTATCCCTGAATCCCCGAAACCATTGTCCCAAGATAATTTTGAAACCTTAAGCCAATATTCCCTAAAGTCTTAGTCAAAACAAACAGTGGGCTTGCTCAACTAATTAACAATGTCTGCCTTGAGCAGCATGCTCTTTGGGGAATTATCTACATCGGATCAAACAGATAACAAAAATCTGAGAGATTCGATAGGAACCTCGGAGAGTGGTGAATTTATGTGGATGGGGAGGAAGAACTCTCAAGAGAAAGATAAGAATGGTGGCACAACTTGAAGACTATAATCAATGTCACTAAATGGTTCATGAACTTGTATGTCACTGAAGACTCCAACTTCTCTTCAGTTTTACTTTTCCTCCTTTGTTAGCCACTCAGAACATTTAGATCGGAGTGGTAAGGAATCTGATTACAGTCAAGTTTTCTCAGAGCTCATCCCAGACCTGACTTAGGAATAGCCTTTTCCCTTCACCCCTGCAGCAGCAGTCCCCTTCCTGATACCATTCACCCTGAACTTCACCATCACCAACCTGCAGTACACAGAGGACATGCAGCTCCCAGGCTCTGGGAAGTTCAACTTCACTGAAAAGATTCTGCAGCACCTGGTGAGCATCCCACTGAACTCAATCTTGCCTCACCTACTAATTCCAGCCACAGCCACTTCACCCAGCCCACCCCTCTGATGCCTCAACCCTTCTGGGCCTCCCTCCATGGCACCTTCTCATCTCCTCTCTCCTTCCTCACAGCTCAGACCCTTGCTCAAGAATAGCAGCCTGGGATTCCTCTTTTCTGACTGCAGACTAGCCTCACTGAGGTAAGATCTTCCCGGAAGTTGGATGGGACCCTTCGTTCTGGGCTCCCTGATGTGTCTATCCAACTACAGCTCATGATTTCTAAGCATCATCAACAATAAAAACAAGTAAAATCATAGAAACTGCTAATAATTAGGAAGACTCAAAGCACTATGCTATGTATTTAGTGCCTGATTCAGTTATCACAAATGCCTGGTAAATCAGGAACAGAGGGAGAAACCAAGGCACAGGGATTAAGTGGCTAACTCCAAGTCCCACAGACAACCCATGCATTTCAAATGCTGGATTCAAACCCTTATCCTGTAGGCAGTATGGCTTCATCTGCTCTCATTATGGGCCCAAAGGATTTAGAAAACACCAATATGACAACCTTTCCAAAGGAGTCGGCCTAAAGAATCTGCCAACTCAAACCCAAACTTACCACCATTGATTCAATTCTGACACATAGCAACCATATACAACAGAATAGAACTGCCCCCGTGGGCTTCTGAGACTAACTCTTTGCATGGATAGAAAACCTCATCTTTCTCCTGAAGAGCAGCTGGTAGTTTCAAACTGCTGACCTTGTGGTCAGCAGCTCCACGTGGAACCCACTACACCACTAGGGCTCCACGTAAGTGGGAAGAGAAATAGCAAATTGGATTCTAGGAAGAAAGCATGATCCTAAATGTGTCAGATGCTCAGCCAAAGGGAATCTGACCTGTCCTGAGCTGGCTTCAAGGAGGGTCAAGGCCCGGTCTTTGGGATGCTATCATGAGCATGTAGGTGTGAAGTTGTTAGGTGTTGCCCTGCTGGCCACCAACTCATGGCAAGATGGTGCACGAGGGAACAGGTGCTGCCCAATCCTGCACCATCCCATGATATGCTGCAGGTTGCGATCCATAGAATTTTCATTGAGTGATTTTCAGGAGGAGATCAACCAAGCTTTCCTCTCAGTCTCTTTTAGTCTAGAAGGTTCATGGACCTATTTGGCATCATAGGAACACATAAGCCACTGCTTCAGACATGTGGTGGCTGCATTTGAGATGCAGGAACATGAACTTGGTACCTTGACAGGAACAGGAACTTGGTACCTCAAAAAAACAACCAAGTGACCAACCAACAAATAAACTCACTGCTATCCAGTCAATGCTGACTCACAGTGACTCTGTAGGAAAGTGTAGAACTGGCCCTGTGGGTTTCGAAGACTTAAGCTCTTTGTAGGAGGGGAAAGCCTCATCTTTCTCCCACAGAGTGGCTGATGGTTCTGAACAGCTAACCTTGCAGTTATCAGATAAGGGTAATCGCTATGCCACTAGGGTTCCTTGGTCTCCCATACATAGAGTGAGAATTCTACGCATAAATTATCACCATCCCTAACCCAGCTGCTGGTGAGTCAGTTCTGATTCCTCGTGATGTCAGGGGTGTCGAAATCAAATATGAGTTCCATAGGTTTCTTAAGGGCTGATTTTTAGGAATCACAAGGGAGTTTGACAAAAGTTTGTTGGAATGCAGCATTAAAAATTGGAATTTATCCACAAATTTCTTGAAGCCCACTCATAAATCAGCAGGCTTTGCTTCTGAGTCATGTCTGGGTGGTCTCAAATGTCCAATCCTTCACTGAGAAGCCCACCAGGTTAACGGCATCAACTCATCCTAAACGTCTAATAAACAGTAGTTAGTTATTATAGGATGAGTGTCCTGGGGCATGGGGATTACAAGTTGGGCTGCCAGCCATAAAGTCAGCAGTTCAAAACCAACAACTGCTCCCAGGGAGAAAGACAGGGCTTTCTAATTCCGTAAAGAGGTACAGTCTCAGAAACTCACAGAGGCAGTTGGACCCTGTCCTTGAGGGTTTCTATGAATTTGCATCGACTTGATGGCAGTGAGCTTGGTTTGGGGTTGGGGTTATCATAGGAGAAAGAAAGGGTCCTGGTGGTTCAGGGGGCAATGTGGGCCTTCTCCAAGGGAGAAAGAGGAGGGCGTCTGTATCCATCAATGTTTACAGTCTCGGAAACCCTACTGAGCACTTCTACTGTGCTGTATAGGGTTGCCATGAATTGGAATCCACTTGATGACAGTAGGGTAGGATCTAAGATGGGCAATTCTACTGAGAAAAGTGCTCTGGAACTCTTTCCCTCCAAATGGTTCAATAATTTATGACTGGATGTTGGAGATCTGTGTGGAGACAGAAAAGCTTTTGATCCCATGTTGGAAAAGCCACTGTTTCAGAGAGCCCTCAAAAAAGAATCGCTCCCAACCTATCTAGCTCCCTGAGTCTCTGAAGAAATGTCCCTCTTGCCTTGATGGTTCACAGGATAGAGAGTAGGTACTTTTAGTCTCTGATTCCACCCAGTCTCTGAAGAATAGTGTCACCAGTCATGCTAAGAGAGCTGTCTTGGACCCACTGCTACTTATTACAGCATGACCCCTAGTGTCTCCTTATGACTGTCAGGACCGGTGAGAAGACTTAGCCTTTGTGGCATCATTGGACACCGTCCAGGGTCACACACCCCATCACCAGCAATCTCACTATATTTGCCACACACCCAGTGCTTCAAGAAGCTTCTCCTCTCAGGAATGCAGGGGACTTGGAGTCCAGGGGTGTCCTAGTTGTTAGTTTATAGTGAAATCTTCCTGAAGGCCTCAGCTTCCTTCGGAACTAGGGTTTGTCTAGGTCCTACTTCAGGGGCTAGCAAAGAGAGGGCGGGAAGAGCAGGCAGACAAAGAGACATGTGTACTAACCATTTTTGAGTTCTTACTAAGGCCTGGGAAGGAAGGAGCAGCCACCAGAGTGGATGCCATCTGCACTCACCACCCTGACCCCGAGGGCTCTGGACTGGACAGAGAGCGACTGTACTGGGAACTGAGCCAGATGACCCATGGTGTCGCTCAGCTGGGCCCCTACCCCTTGGCCAGGGACAGTCTCTATGTCAACGGTGAGCAGCTGTGATGGGCCAGAGTTCCATCCTTACAATCTGACAGGTCTTGCTATAGCCTCTACTCTCTCTCTTGAAGTCCTGATCCCTGCCTGGCCTTAGGGTCGTTGGCCATTTGTCCTAGATATCCAGATTGGCCCTGGATATGCAGATTCAGGTCTGGTCCTTATATCTTCCTCTTCATCTGTGGTTCTTTTCCTCTGATATGGGAAGAATGAGAAAGAAGCTCAGCAGTTCCTGATCCATAATACCCCCTCCAATACACCAGAATGTCTCTGACCTCTGCTTGGCCTGCTATCCCTCCTTTAACCTGTACTCTCACCTTCTCATTGCAGGTTTCACCCATCAAGGGTCTGCACCCATCACCATCAGTGAGTATTCAACTAGGTCCCCTGTGTCTCCTGCCCTCCAGCTCGCAGGGAAGAAGATGCGCACTCCTGATGTCCTCTCCTGCCCTCTCCAAGAGGGATGGAGCAGGGAGGTCATAGGTTATTTAACCTCACCTCTGCCCCAGGCCATGAGTCACGCAAAGCAAGCCCCATAGTCTTTCCCTCTAGCCTTCCTGCCATGTTGGTACCTTTCTGTTTGTACTAACAGAACCTTCTCTTCAGCTCCTGGAACCCCCACAATGGGCTCGGGGACCTCCAAAACTCCATCCTCTTTACCCAGGCCCACAGGTAAGTACCAGCAATGATACATCGATTAACGGGTGGCTTTATCAGGGTAAACAGCTCTGATATTATTCACTCAGAAAAGATGAAACATCACGGTCAATCTAATGCTGATAAGTCAATTAGTAACCATGTATGGAGCATATACTCCATGCCAAGCCCTGAGGTACAGCAGGGATCACAAAGCAGACAAAGATTTCTTCCCTCATGAAGTTAATAATACTTGTGAGAGGGATGATGGTGATGATGATGTTAACAATGATAGTGATGGTGAAGACACTGATGGTGGTGACCATACTAATGATCATGATATTGACAATGATGATAAAGATGACTGGTGGTGATGAATGTAATGATAACGGAAAAGATGATGACCATAATGGCGGTGATGGTGGTAGTAGTAATGATAATGAAGATGATGATAATAAGTAGAGTGATGAAAGCTATGATAGCGGTGACAATGATGAGTCTGAGGTTATCAAACTTATCTGAGGTTATCGAACCTGTTATATTGTCTGTATTCTCTCCTTTGGGATATCATTTCTTCTGCATCTTGTCTGTCATTTTCTCTTTTGTATTTTATGCGGGTCATTCGTGGTTTTTAGATCCACTTACCACTCTTACTGTGCACCATCGAATAGAGATTTGATCTCCTACCAATTACATTTTCCAGGCTCCTTGCTAACTAGCCTCCTATTAGATTCAGCCAATGGGAGATGTAATTAGAGAGATAGGCTCAGCCAGAAGAAAAGTCAAGCAAACAATTTATCCTGCCTCAGGCAGCATCTCCAGCTGGCGTGTCTCCCCACAGTGATTTCACTTCCTTCTGATATGCTATACATTTCTCTCCCCTTTGTATTTTCAGCCCTTGTGGGCTTAGGACCAGTTGCTGGAGAGTTGGCTCTAAATGAGTCTGAGTAAGATGTACTTCACAGAAGTCTCAATAGTTCATTGCTGGAAGCCAAGTCTAGTCCAATCAAGTTCATTCCAATTTGTGATGGCTCCCTGTATTGCAAAGCGGAACTGCTTCTTAGGGTTTTCTGACTAACCTCTGTGTGGCATTAACCATTTGAGAGCATTAACCATTTGCACCACCCAGGTACTTCAGTGGGACTAGAAGCTTCCTGATATTGACAATGTCCACACTGCTTTTAAAACTTCCTGTTTTAAATTCCCATTATTAAGATAGTTAATAAATTCCATTTTATTATCAGAAAAAAATGTATTCAGTGACATGACAATAACTTGTATGCACATGGTGTTTAATTAGTATTTGTTGAATGAATATACCTAAATGAGTTAAATTCATAATTAGAAACCTAAGGAATGAGTTGGTCACATAATAGAGCCATATGAAGGTGTTTCAAAAATCCATGGAAATTTTTAATTTAGAGACAGTGAAAATATTACATGAGGTTTTCGAAGTCCCCTATTACAGGCAAAATCTAGGTACCCATAGGCATCTATATCACTGTATTCCATTGTCATCAAGTCAATTCCAACTAATAGTGACCCTATAACACAGACTAGAATTGTCTTAGAGAATTTTCCAAAGCTATAATCCTTTTTTAACCAAATCGTGTTTTTGGTGTGAATTGGGTGGGAGTCTACATATCAAATCATCATTTTAGACATGAATCAACTTATCTTCATCGACCTCCTGCCCCTCCAAAGCTGTAATCTTTCCAGAAGAGCTGCATCTTTCTGCCATGGAGCGAATGATGGGTTCAAACTTCTAATCTTTATCCGCTGTGCTACCAAGGCTTCTTTATGGAACTATAGGTTCCCCCCAAACTAGAGCATCCAGGGGAAGACCCAGTTCTAGGAACCCAAGCTGGATAGCGTTGCTATGAGTGGGAATTGACCCATGGGATGACAGGGAGATGTGTTAGTTCAGACTTACCTAGTGCCCCTTGTCTGCACTGGGTCAAGAACCCAGTCCGGTCGAGCCCCCTGGTGGAGAGAGTCAGCTACCACATGTGGAAGGGCTGCAGCAGGGTAGGGAGTGCTGAATAGAGGATCCTTTCAGAGCTCAGGACTGGATTTCTTATCTGCCTCCCTGCTTGCAGTGACAAGCCCTACTGTGGTGCTCTTCACCCTGAACTTCACCATCACCAACCTACACTACACCGAGGATATGGGGCATCCTGGATCTGCAAAGTTCAACACCACTGAGAAGGTCCTACAGCAAATTGTAAGAGACCTGAGATGCCTACTGCCTTTGTCACCTTACTCCTGCATGACCCCCAGTCCTCCTGCTCACTTCTCTTCCTCCTCCCCAGCTTGGACCTGTGTTCAAGAATACCAGTATTGGCACTGTCTATTCCATCTGCCACGTGACCTCATTCAGGTGAGATGCCCAGGAGGGGATGTTCATACCTGCACACTTCCAGATGGTGTCCTCTGACTCATACCCTGTGCTAGCTCCCCACCTGGGCACCTAGGAATAAGGATCAATATAGATGCCATGTCCATCCATATCCCCAATTGTTCCTTCTGATGCTGTCCTAGGTGTAGAATTTCCCTAGGGAGTTGATGCCTTGCAGTTTTCAAACTTTATTCTGGACTTCAGAAAATACAAAACAAAAATGAGCAATCCTTGTGACATGGATATTCCTTAATCCACCTTTAATGTGTTCAAGGGTGATGTACTTAGGTATTTTCAAAGTCTTGGGACAGCCCCAACTTTTGGTCCCTCAGTATAGCTTAGGAGAGGGATCCTAGCTGGTGCATGGATGTTGAACAAACGTTGTGCTAACTCTGATGCCAGTTATCCTCCTCCGTCTGTCAATTACAAACCAATTCTAGCTTTTTAGACTCCATTTCATTTTCTTGTCTTTCTTTTCCCACTTTCTGTGGCTGTCCTTATTATTAACTGCCACTGGGTTGATTCAAACTCGTGGTAACCTTATGTACAACAGAATGAAACCCTGCAGCACCCTGGATCATCTTAAGGATTTCTAGCCTATGCAAATCCACCATTGTAGCTATTGTGCTGCTCTGTCTCATTGAGGGTCTCCTTCGCCGTGCCTGTCCTCCTTCTTGGTCAAACATGATGTCTTCCTCTAGTGATTGATTCTTCCCGATAACATGCCCGCAGCCAATGAGCTGGAGAGTGTTCTGTTGTAAACTTGAAGGTCTTCATTGGCCAATCGGTCCACCATGGGTGAGGCTACTGTCATGGGAAAAAGTGATGGCCCAGCTCCCAGAATCATTTCATCTTCTACCAACCAAAAATCAAACCTACTGCCATCTTGCTAATTGCAACACATAGTGACCCTAGAGGACAGAGTAGGACTGCTCCTTTGAGTAAACCTCTACAGAAGCAGACTGCCTCTCTTTCTCTGGCAGAGCAACCGATAGGTTTGAACTGCTGATCTCGGGGTTAGCAGTGCAATGTGTATAACCCACTATGCCAGCAGGACTTCGGGTTATTTCAGCATTGTGGCTTTTCTCAAGCATTATTATTCTTGCATTTCCTCATTATCATCCATCCTGCATGTGTCTTTCTCCCCAGATCTGAGAAGGGTGGAGCAGCCACCAGAATGGATGCCGTCTGCACTTACCGGTCTGACCCCAAAAGCACTGGGCTGGACAGAGAACGATTGTACTGGGAGCTGAGCCACGAGACCCGTGATGTTACCCGACTGGGCCCTTACACCCTGGACAGGGATAGTCTTTATGTCAACGGTAGGTGCCAATGCTACAGCAGAGGGCTCCTATGTGTCTCTGTGCAGCCTATATGACCTGGGCTCATACACATCCTAGGTCACATTTAAGCTTCTCCTAGATTGACCTGCCTACGATATGCAGATGACACAGCCTTGCTTGCTGAAAGTGAGGAGGACTTGAAGCATTTGCTGGTGAAGATCAAGGATTACAGCCTTAAGAATGGATTGCAAGTCAATGCAAAGAAAACCATAATCCTCACAATAGGAACAATGGGTCACATCATGAAAAATGGAGAAAAGATTGATGTTGCCAAGAATTTTGTCTTGCTTGGATCTACACTCAGTGCTCTCGGAAGCAGCAGTTGAGAGATCTAATGTTGGATAAGTCATTGGATAAGTCTGCTGCACAAGGCCTCTTTGAAATGTTGAAAGCAAAGATAATACTTTGAGGACTAAGGTATACCTGATCCAAGCCCTGGTATTTTCCATTGCCTCCTATGCACGTGAGAGGTAGACATTGAATAAAGAACAATCTAAGCATTTGAACTACGGTGTTAGCGAAGAATATCGAAAGCACCGTAGACTGCCAAAAGTACAGGCACATCTGTCTTGGAAGAAGTGAAGCCAGAAGGCTCCTTAGATGCAGAAAGGGCAAGACTTCCAACTCAAGCACTTTGGACAGGTTATCAGGAGAGGCCAGTCCCTGGAGAAGGACTTCATGCTTGGTAAAGTGGAGGGACAGCAAAGAAGTGGAAGGCCCTTGGTGAGATGGATTGATGTAATGGCTGCAGCAATGGGCTCAAACATAAGAACACACAGGACAATGGCACAGGTCCTGGTAGAGTTTTGTTTGGTTGTACACAGAGTCACAACCAATTGAAACGGACTCAATAGCCTAACCACAACAGATTGACATTCAGCTCGGCATCTTTTCTGTCACAAGGAAGTGTACGTTTCTGGGTTCTGAGTGGTGCAAACAGCTTGACACTCAGCTGCGAACCCAAATGTTGGTGGTTTGAATCCATCCAAAGGAGCCTCAGAAGAAAGCCTAGAGATCCCCATCTGGCAAATCAGCCACTGAAAACCCTTACGGAGAACAGTTCTAGTTGGGCACACACCGGATTGCCATGAATCGGCACGTGGAAAAAATGAAGGAGGGATTTGAAAGTCCATGAGGGGTGGGCAGAGGGGGTGGCAGAAGGGGGTGCCACAGGTGAAGTGATGCAGAAATTAGCCTGAGCTCCTGTTACTTTCCCTGAAGTTTGTCAGTATGGTCTCTACTTTGAAAGCACTCTGTAAATACTCCTTAAGTGGGCAGATGCGAAGACACCCAGTGTGCCTCAGATCCCTGCCACTCCTCCCAACTTTACAACTGCTTCCCTTCTCTCCCTCTCTCTGCAGGCTACACCCATCAAGCCCTGCTCTCTACCTCCAGCAGTGAGTAATTGCACCTTGATGAGCTCACCTTCCCCAACCCCCAGGGAGGGAAAAGGCCAGGATTGCCCCAATCTTTTCTTCAGCACAGATCAGAGTTGGATGAGGAAAAGGAGTATAAGGCTCCCTAATGGGCTCCTCCTGCGGTGGGCTGATATCTGCTTCACTGTGTTTTCTTCTCAGCTACGATGGCCTCTCCAGCAACATCTACATCTCTGGTCACCATCCCCACAGGTAGGAGCTTCCTCTTGGTGACTCCTCCCTACAAAGTCCTCATGCACATGCCTGGTGGGTGGCTTTACATGGGGAGCCTGGACACTTTGTTCACTCATGCAACAAGTATTTATGAGCATTCCCTGTGTAAAAGGAAGCAGTGAGGCAGGGGTAGCTCAGTCGTAGACTTCTCCCCTTCCATGCAGGACACCTCAATTCCCTTCCTCACCAAGGCACCTCTTAGAGAGGCACCACCCATATGTTAGCAGTGGGTTGGCTATTACTATGAGTCTGAACTGGACATATATAGATATCCAGTTGTGCATCATTCTGTTGTACATAGAATAGCTATGAGTCAGGATGGATTCAACAATGCCTCACAAAACCATAAGACGGTGCAAGTTTTAGTCATGCTTCCAGAATAAGAAGGATGAGGAAGAAAGGCCTGGGGATCTAGTTCTTAAAAAACTGTGTACCACAAGGGTCAATTTGGCAGCTGATCTTGAGGGTCTGACAAACCAGGGCAGCATTTCACCTTGTGGCACATACAGTCACCATGAGTCAATAACCTTTAACAATGGTAATTCAGCAATAAGCAGAATGCCAAGGGTACCACCCCTGAGGGGCTCAAGGCAGGAAAATGGAAAATAAACACAATGGCACATGTGAAGATTGTGTTGCCATCGGCTCAGTGCCAGGACAAAGAACAACTCTAGCAGCATGGCAGTCTGTGGGAGGAGATTCTCTTTGACGCTTAGTTTTCCTCTCCAGGAAAAAAGCTACATAAGCTACACGTGTACCCAGGGCATGCCCTAGTTCATGTCCTGATCAGTGATAGACTGGTTCAGGTTGAACTGAGAGTCAGTTTCCCTTTCTGGCCTCCCACTGGCCCAAAATCAATGTCAATACCATGCAGCAGTTCCACTGAGCATGCTGTGTGAGCTGCCATCACTAAGTATTGTGTTACATATTGGATGGGCCCTTCTCTGGGCATTCTAAACACTCAGTCTACAGCAGGCAGGCAGTGGAGTTTGCACCTGCCCAAGGTCCTAGGTGGAATGCTTAGGAGCCCAGACTCTTGGCCCACAAGGCTTGGGTCCAAATTCAAATTCTGCCACGTAGAGATTGTATGATGGAAGGCAACTTATTGAGTCTCTTTCTGGCTAGTCTCCATATCTCTAAAATGGGGATAATAATACTTCCTCCATCCAAAGGATTTGTCTCAAGGCTTATTAAGTAAGTTAAAATTCAAAGCAAACTCTTAGAATAGGGTCTGGCACATAAAAATACACTGTATTCCTTTAATCAAAACAGAACATAGCAAAATCATTCAAAATTATTTTTAAAAATTAAAAACAGATAAGAAGGATGATGTCGATCTAGAAGTTAGCAGACTTTTGCTTTCTGCTTGATGGTCTATTGATTTCCATAGCACAATTTTGCCTAGACATCCCAAATGTCCCCCAGTCAACATTAGCATCTGGGCTGAGGTCTCCTTCCTGTTGAAGAATTTTAGGGGAAGCGCTTTCTCAAGGCTCAAAGGTAATCACATGAGATGCCTTGTGCTCTAACTCCCTGAACAAGAGGTAAGCTCAGTGAGGATCTTTTCCCCACATCTTTTACAGCCACTGGTCCTGCCCTGATGTCCTTCACCCTCAACTTCACCATCACCAACCTCCCCTACCAGGAAGATATGCACCCTCCAGGTTCCCTGAAGTATAATGTCACAGAGATGTCCTTACAGCCCCTGGTGAGAGTCCCTCCCACCTCACCATGTCCCCATCCACGGATGCCCCATCCATTGACACCAGTCTAGCCTACCTTCGTGCTTCCATATGCACTGGTGCTAATTTCCTATAAGAATGTCCATGCCTTGATGCCATTTCCACCAGTGACACTTGTCGTGCCCTCCTCAGCACTGCTATAGACACTGATGCTGCCACTTGCCCTCGTCTAACACACAAATACCTACCCACCTGACCCCTTAAGCCCTTCTATTTACCACCCACCTTATTTTCCAGCTGGATGCCTTGTTCAAGAACACCAGTATCGGCCCCTTCTACTCTGGCTGCCGACTGTCCTCGTTCAGGTGACACCTCTCTGTAGAATGATGGACCAGGGACCCAGAGATCTTGACTGCCTTTTGTCTTGCCCTGCCTGATACAATGTCTCTGCAGAGGTGGAATTCAGGACACACTGGTTCCAATCAAGGCGTCGCTGATCCTCCTCCTTCAGCCCCTAGGCTCTGCATGACCAGGACTGGCCCCTCCCCAGTTACCCTCTGATTTCCCTCCCGCATTTCTTATGATCACAGAGGACAGGTCCTTCAGGTGCTAGTTTTTGTTCCCAGGGATTTCTCTCCAGGGAAAATTGCCTCCTCAATTTAACATGAATCCAAATCCCAGCTCTTCTCCATCTCGTGTGTGAGCTCTCTGTTCTTCTGTAGAAGACATGCGGCTTTCTCCCTTTCTGTTAAAGTGGCTCATTCATGACTCTCTTCTCTGGCTTTCTAGTTCATAAAAATGTTGCACTCATGAATCTGCTTACAGTCCCAGGTTGGCCAGTAGTTGGTACTCCCAGAGAGTACAAGTTTAGCTTCTCACCTCTGTACCAGTCTTCTCTTATCCTCGGACCCCTTTCTATACTACCTTTATGATGTCAGGACCCCTCATGGAGGACTCCAGTCATTGCCATCTCCTCACCCTCCCTCCCCAGGTCTAAGAAGAATGGGACAGCCACTGGAGTGGATGCCATCTGCACCTACCGCCCTGACCCAGAAGGCCCTGACCTGAACAGAGAGTGGATTTACTGGGAGCTGTACAAGTTGACCCATGGTGTCATTCAGCTAGGGCCCTACACTCTGGACAGGAACAGTCTCTATGTCAATGGTGAGAGATCACCATCTGTTTGAATCCCAGAATGCCCTACAACTTCCCGTCCATCCCTCCTTTTCCTTCTCACTCACTTCCCTCCTCCTCTCTCACTTCCCTCCTCCTCTCTCCCTGTTTTTCTGCAGGTTACACTCATCAGACCTTGGTCACCACCACCAGCAGTGAGTATTAGATTTCAAAAACCCCAACAACTCCCGTGAGTCTTTACATGTCGAGGAATGGAGGGAAACAGGGGAATATTATCTTCCTCCTCACCCCACCCACCACAACTCTGACTTCCTTAAACCAGTCCCTTGCCCAGCAAAGCTTAAGACTTGAGCGTCCCTTCCTGGCACCTTCAAGATAATGAGGTGCTCACCTCAAGCACTTTTTTTCTTTTTCCTCTGCAGCTTCTAGGGTCAACACAGCTTCATCTGGGTTGCCGACTCTCTTCTCTGGTTCCACAGGTAGGCATAGCTTTGGTGAATATGCTCCTTGCAATTCCTGCTGCGCTTTACTCAAAGGGAAGAGGAACTGAGACAGAAAGTTCCTCTCTGTCAAGGCAATCCCTGATGGCTCGAGCAGGACTTTGCTTCCAACCCCAGCACTCACCACCCTGGCTTGCATTAAAAATCTACAAGGGAGCCCCTGTCTTCAAACCATGTCCCA